ATCCGCTTGATACCTTCAAAGGAACGCTGGCACTCAGCGTTCCATGACCACTTGACATTTTTCTTGAGGGGACAAGAAAGATGAACAGTCATCTCGGCGTAGTTGCGCGAGTACTTGTGCAAGTACGCCGCAAGCCCAAGGAACTTCCTTATTCCCTTGACATCGACTGGCACTGGCCAGTCGGTGATCGCCTTGATCTTTTCGGGATCAGGGCGTACGCCGTGTTTACCCACGATGCACCCAAGAAGTGGTATTTCGCTAGCCGCGAATATACACTTCTTGAAGTTGGCGTACAACTTATGCTTGCGCATAAGTTAAAAAATCTGACGCAAGTGTGTACTGTGAACTTCCGTGTCCGTCTTTCCGTTCATAGCCCGGCTATGGACGAACACATCGTCGAAGTAACTCGGTGCGAAGTCTCGCACCGGTCTCACTAGATTTGTAACACATCTGTTGAATGTTGCAGGGGCATTACTCAGCCCCTGTGGCATCACTAGCCACTCCCACAGCATACCGCTGGGGGTACTCACTGCCGTGAACGGGACGTCCCGTTCACGCATCAGGATCTGATAGAATCCATCCATCAGATCCATGGACGAAAAGATGGTACTCTTTGACATACCATCTATGATTACGTCCTTCCTCGGTATCGGCGTCTGAGCCGGTACCGTTGCAGCATTCAACTTGTTGAATGCGTGCACTATCCGCCACCCTCCTGTGGCCTTTCGCACACAGAAGGTCGGAGAGCTGTGAGGGGATGTTGATTCCCTCACATGGCCCGCTGCTAAGCGATCGGCAAAGAACTTGTCGATCGCTAGTATTTGTTCACGAGGCAGTGGCCACTGCTTCATGACACAGTATTTCGAGCCCGGTTTGAGCTCGATCTCGTGTCGAGTGCCTTTGTCCTTAGGCAACTCGCAAGGTACGGATTCAGGGAACACATCCCTGAATTCGATCAAATCCTTATACAAAGGATTTGCCTGAAGTGACTCCCAGGATTGGGACGCGTATCGCTCAACCCGAGTCTTCTCATCGAGGACACTTTCGTCCATCGACGAGCTACTGATAACCCGTTCGCTCTCAGTAAACAGTGTTGCCGACCGAATATCGGCCACATACTCGTCCCCTGTGACGAGTATGCAGATCTGCTTGACTTTGCCACTACGCAGATCACGCAAGAACCGTTTCGGTTCTAGCGTTGGCAACTGAGTTATCTCCGAAGTTAACTTCGGAGGCACAATCAGATCAAGCGTATAAGCGCCTACGCTTGATCCGTCATCAACCAAGACGTTCAACGTCTCGGTTTCTTCCTGGGAACTTGCTTCCACAGGTTGCTGAGGGCCTAATCCCTCAGCAAGCGACTCTTGAGGAATTCCTTCCTCAAGTACGTGGGGACTTATTCCCTCGACGTCTTCCGACTGTGGCTGTGCAACCACAGTCAGGCACCGATCCTCTACGGTCGACTCTCCAGTCGACCTAGGATTTTCATGTTGCCCCTTGGGGGCAACAGGTTTATTTCTTCTAAGATGCTGCCCGCTAGGCATGCATCCATGTCCCGGTCCACTCGACTTCTTCGAGTGGTGGACCTTCGGCGCAGCCTGTACTTGTGTACAGCCGCCGGGAGCTTGCCCCACAGTGTAGTGATCAACTACACTGTGATCTCGTGCAGTCGTGCTAACGACCGTACCGCAAGTGAGGCCATCGCACTCACTCGCAGAACATCCACACGCTTGTGGACGCTCCAAGATGTTCATCAGATGGCCATCTGGTGAACAAGCAGCAGGCATCTTCACGGATCGATGCTGCCAGCTCACCCTTGGCTCGTACTTTCTGAGCCAAGGTAATCCCAGGATGACATCAAATTTGTCATCCAGATCTAGTACGATGAAGTCATCATCGTACTGTTCGCCCTCTAACGTGTAGTGGATTTCTACTACACGTTTCTCAACGGTTATCGATGCGCCTGTTGCAAGGCGCACCGTCATCCTTGTGAGGGGAATGTCGCGCTCAACGAACTTGAGCCTACGACCCTCTAGTGACTGGCGTCGAACAAAGTTGTTCGACGCCCCACAGTCTACTAGGGCACGAAGCGACAAGTCATTTGTCGCTTCCAACTTCAAGGTGATGAGCGAAACATCATCACCAGGTGCAGAGACACACAATGATTGTGTATCTGGAGCAACTTTCGTCAAGAGGTTTGCAAATTCTCTTGAGGTTGCTGGATCAGTAGGGCGCTCCGCCCCTACTGACCCCGACCATTTTTTGATGGCCCGTCTCGCTGTTGCGGCTTCGCAACAGCGCTGGACCCACGCCCATTGCCCTTTCTGGCGAATGGTCGTCCATTTCGCTCAGTACTGTTTGGTACTGGGCGTGGAGCACTACACTCGTATGCGTAGTGCCCTAACTTCTGACAGCGATTGCACCTCTGCAATTGCTTGTTGTTTGAAGAGCGAGGTCTCTCGCTCTCAACATAGCAGAGATCCATTGGTTCTGGACCTCCGATCTCTTGTCGTCTCGGTGGACGGTAAGAGTTTGAGCTAGCATGAGCCTGTCTCATGCTTAAGTCTTCCTGTTCCGCGGCTGATATCGCTTCTTCAAGCGTATTCAGCTCAAGGCGGAACAGATGGCTCCTGACGGGCCCTTCTGCGAGCCCTTGCATGAACACCGTAATCAACGTGTGTTCATGAACTGGGTTAGCAGTTATACTACTCGCAAGGAGTCGTATATGTTGTGCGTAAGCGTGCACATCACGCTTACCCTGCTTGAGTTTCAGGAGCTCTGAAAGAGCCCTATACTCAGCACGTGGCGGCTCAAACGTTTGTCTGAGCCGGGACTTGAAGTCATCTAGCGACCTAAACACGTTTGGGTCGCTACTCTCGAGTCCCAGGGACCAAGGTTTGGCACGCCCTGCCAAGTGGGTCTGAGCAAATGTGAGTTTCATTTGCTCATCTTTGACGCGACGAGCCCTTAGGGCTCTGTCGAGTTCGACAAACCATAGTAACAGGGAGTCATCCGGGACTCCACTGTACTTGGAGATGTCAACTTTCATGACTTCGGGACGACGCGCATGCGCCGTCCCGCCCACAGCAGCATGGAATTGCTGCTGTCTCAACAGCTCCGTCTGTTGAGCACCGAGTTCTCTCAACTGCTCGGTCTGTTGAGAGCCTTGCTGGTGAAGCAAGTCTACTTTCTCCCTCTCGAGAGCAAGTTCATTCTGAATGAACTTGGCAATAGCGGCATGTTGTTGGTCTCTGTCTAGAGACTCCAACATGGTGCTAACGACGAGTTCGCCTACGGTAGAACTCATTCGTTCTACCGCACCCCATTCGATGTCACTCAAATGGGTAAACCCTTCACGCGTGGCGTGAAAGGTGTCTTCTTCATCCAACATGTTCATGTTGGATGATGTGGTCCTTGGAAGGACTACAAAGTGCTACCAGGTGTAACGGGGCACACCCTTGCGTAACTTAACGCAAGGGATTTGGGTGCCCCGACGGACGTACACGCGGCGAGCGAGGAAGCGTAGGTAGGGTAAAAGTAGAACTGTTATATTAATAAAATTAAGTCTTTAAACTACTGTCTCTTCGTTTGACTTAATTCAATTATACTAATATAACTGCATGTATGGTGACGTCTCGTCACCACTCATTGCGCGCGTCTTGCGGCGATTGGTGGGTTGATATCATCACGATATCAACCAATGAACAGACCCTTTGGTCGACCCTTCAATATCACCGCTTTGGTGATATTGTTTAAAGAAAATCCATCTTTATATTCTTTATTGTCACTTTCCTTAAAGTGACAATTTCATGTAACGGGCTGCCCCGTTACATCGGGTACGATGGTATTGATCTACTGTATACATGAACGACAATTCCTACTTCCGTATCCACGTTGTGCTTGCAGTGGTCTTTGCCTCACCAGAACGCGGCTGAAACTTCATCGTGAGAAAAATGTACACTTTGGTCCTGCGTGTGATGGTCAGCGGCGTTTCTACTTAGCTGGAGACGGTACGTTCGTGTGGAAATGGAGCCGTTTCCTCCACTAAAGCTTAGCTGCTCTTCGTCTCCGTGATGGAAGTAGATGCGGGTTTGTCATCGGTATCCACTTGCTCGACGTTGGCCTCCTGTACCTCAACAGCGCCCTCCAATGTAGCGCCAACGTTCGTCTTCTCCTTCTCTACAACCGTCATAGACTCAGCAACGGCTTCCGTTTGCGCAGTAAGCGTCACAGCTATAGCCTCTCTAGCAGCGTCAGACGCATCGGCAGAGACAGCCGTCTCGCCAAATGCAGCGGCTTCGGCGCAGGTCAGTACCCGTCTCGCCAAATGCAGCGAATTCGGCAAGCTCAATTGAGTCAGTACCCGTCTCGGTCTCGACCTTGTATATAAGATTTTGAAGGAAGGGTGTGAATTTAAGGAAAAGGGGTGTGAATTTAGCAATTCCCTAAAAGTATTACCTACTAGCGTGATTTATATTAGTAGTATCTGCTTAAGATAATTTTGGATGCCACTTATTTGGGCACTTTTTTCGTTGACGTACAAATCACAACCAGGTAAATCGGGTCACCCCGTGACATCCGTGCTACGGCTTGGGCATTGAGATGTGACACACCCTCTGCTCGATGATTGAATTACTATACAGCTACCACATTAAGTTCATTGCCTAATGTTACGCGGTTATCAGATTGCGAGCGTTGACTCTTTACTTGTGTGCCTAGCGCGTACGACTCCGGCGCAGCACAAGCTAATACTTTTCGTCGAATTTTCTTAACAAAAAGTCAAGTAAAAAGTTAAGGAAAACCACCATAGTTTATGTGTTTGGAGCAAAAAGGTTGTGGTTAGTCAAAGTATAATCAGCATTACTTCTACGAAGCTACAAAAGTGATCACTATATAGCTGCCAGCTTCACTGACTTTGCTCCCACGGGCTGCTAGAGAACTTGGGCGTGCGCTGCATTCAGCTCGTCGTCCAGATAGTCAACCGCTTGCTCCGACCACGCTTAAGTCGTTGACTCGTGATTCAGAATATCCCTCTTCCCGGTTGCCTTAGGTGGAAGTAAGATATCAAGCTTGGCCCGGACGTAGTCCAGTACATCGCCTAACAGGTCCTTTTTGTGCACCGGAAGATAGTATTCCGCCATAAACATCATGGCTTTTTCAAATACTTTGATCTTCTCCTCGTTGAAGCCCTCACCAGTAACATACAACTCTCTTGAGCCCCACATCATGTCGACAAACTGGTTCGGTGTCACCTTTGCCTTGAGGTAGACCTTGACCAATGACTCCCCATACTGTCGTCCATACATGTCAACCAGCTCACGGTGTACGTCGTCGGCGTATCTTGTCATGTCGGGGTTGCTACGACGCTTGAGCAATTTCTTGACCGCAAGTTCAACCTGGACTCGACGTTCTTTTTCATTCGACGTCGTGCTGATGAGAGACTCAGCCACGCTCCTAGGGTTCCAGGGTTGGCCCTCCGTCTTCTTCGTCTTTACCTTCATCTCCTCAATCATCTTCTTCATATTTTTCCTCATCTCCTTCTTCATCTTTTTCTTCATCTCCTTCTTCATCTCCCTCTTTATCTCCTTCTTTATCTCCTTCTTTGTCTTCTTCGTCTTGGAAACTCCTAGCTTTTTCAAGAACGCCTTATCGTTCGTGATCTCTCTTTTGGCAACGACCTCGCTATTTGACATGTGGGAGGCGAGACTAGCGACGGCATTTTCCTTTTCATAAAAAGTTGCGAAGTGATGGATCATTGCGGGGACTTCTTCGAATGTTTGCGGCATCATCCCGGTCCTCTCCTCTCCATCGTGCTGGCCTTCGTCGTCGGTCTCGACTGCGGCATCGTCGTGTGACGTCCCTGTCCTTAGCACGACGGGCAGGGTCCTGTTCGTGCGAGATAAGGCAGGGAGCGTGCTGCGAGCAGCGTCGTTAGCCTCTTTGTCGGCAGTGATTGTTGACCCAGCAGTTTCTGCAACAAACACCACTAGAACTGTGAGCACGTAAGTGAGCAAGCGCATGATAAGACTATCGAACTGCTAGGCAAATTGCAGAATGAGCGACAATCGCCGCGATGCTTCCGGTCGCTATTTGTGTAGATATGCCAGATATGTTCTTGCCCGATTCTCCGGATCCAACGAGACCTGGTCCGGCCTTACTCTGGGCGTACACAGGATTGTCGCATGAGTAAGGGCGGGTCTGCCTCCGTCAAATAAACTGGCTTATATCTGGATAAACAGACGGTCGCTACCACGCACACGTCACGTGTACATAGCAAGCCACCTAACCAATGATCCGAGCTAAACGCAGATAGGCTGATACGGTGTCCTCCGATAGAATGGACGAATTGCACTCTTTCGCATTAGCACAAGGGGCTAGATCAATCAGGGCGGAGTCAACAGTGACGCTAGAAATCCATCAGTGAATCCTGTCCCATCCGCGTCAAGGTGACCATCTGCTCTGACGACGGCAAGCGTAGCCAGCAGGGACAGTCGATGGGCTTCCGACCAGAGCGCGGACAGAGGCTTGTAGCCGTGGGACTTGCAGAGACAAATCTGTTTGGCTGAAGATAGAGTGGGAGCGTGCTGCGGAAACAGACTGCATGTACAGAGGAAGAGAAAACTCGCGCACAGAATAAGCACGGGCGCCTATGGTTCTGTAAACGGATGTTGTCGGAGTTGATGGGTTCTCGTCCATGTCTTGCACAATTGGCTCCTTCCTGCCACCTGTTGATCATGAGTTTGGATCCCCTATCCGCTCAGAATCCATAACACTTACGGGCCATCAGCAATGCCCGGGCGGTCGACCGATCAGCAGAAAACCCATGTGCGAAGAATGAAAACTTCCAAGAGTCGTACGAACATGGTGTCATGCACGTTTTACTCAAACAGATTATACGCCTGTAGTATCCATGACACCTCGTGATCTAGCAACGTGCAAATATACCTAGCAGCACAATGGGGTGATGCGAAAAGCCTGCGTTAAACAAGACGAAGTATTGAGCTCTTCACGACAGGGAATATAGCTAGGAAACAGTCCAGAGTTAGAGATAACACAACACAAAAACGCTTTGTCCACGAGAAAACATTGGGATTGAGGAGGAAAACCTTTCGAAAAAAACCCTTATCATATAGCCTACACTTCAACCCACCGTTGAGACTAATCTGCTCAATTAGACTGCTCCCAGTTTCCAATACTGAAACACAGTCAGCACTAACGGTACTGAAAAGAGCGGAGCTTGATACACCGGTACACACCGATCTGACACTCCCACTTCGAGGTCCGCGTCATTGCTTTGTAGGTTTCCTGTCGCTCGTCTCAAACAGCGGAAGTGGCACTACATTCAAACATCACGTAGCTTGGAGAACTGTGTCTATCCAAGCGGCTTCGTAAAAGATCTGCTAGCATATTCGTTGTAGCACAATAGCTAATGTCAAAATCTCCACGTTCATACATATCCCGAACCTTGTGGTACTTCAAGTCCACACCCTTGATTTCATAGTTTCCTTTTGTAGCTTTAATCACTGAATTGTATACTGGTTATCCTGAAATAACACAGTCAGGTGACGGCGTCGAAGGTTAAGTTCCTCACAAAGATTGTGCGTCCAAACAATTATGACAGAACATTTAGCAGCTGCAATAAACTTCGTACTTCAGGTATCGTCATGAGTAATGGTTTGCTTGCGACTCTATCAAGCGTAAGTGCATCCATTCATTTGCAGCACAAATCCCGTGATTGATCGACGGTCATCCTTTTCACTACCAAGATCAGCATCAGCCTCAGCAGTAAAATTCAGGTCGAGACAAACAAGTTTCTTCCGCAAGAGTCCACATTCACGTGTGCCGTGTAGATAGCGCATAACACGCTTTGCCATCACAAAAGGCTCTTTCGTATAATTGTTCTATAATTTCCAAGTGTACGCACGGTATTGGCAAGTTCTGGGCGAGTTCCTTGCACTAAATACTAAAGATAGTCCAATAGATCTCGATACGGCAACTTAAGATTGTTTATGCCTGGTTGGTTGCCTTCAGCGATTTCTGGCAGGTTCCCTAAAGCTTGCGGAGTAGATACAGGACGACATTCTTCCATATCGAAGCGTTTCAATACTTTGTCTATATATCCACTCTGTGACATCCACATAAATTGTCCAGGGACATAAGAAATCTCCATTTGCAACAGATCCTTCACAGGACCCAGATCTTTGATCTGAAACTGTGCTTGCAGCTTATAGATAACCCGCTCAATATTTTTAGGCGTTCCTACGATATTTAAGTCATCCAGGTAGACCGAAACAAAAATTGGACATCCTCCAATCGAACGGGTATGAATACCACCATCCATTTTTGAGCGACGAAACAGGCACGACCCCACATACTTGTCAAGTGTTTATACCATATTAATGTCTCCTGTTTTAGACCGTAAAGACTTCGTAATAATTTGCAGACACGACCTGACCCATCATCAAAATATTCAGGCATTTCCATATACATTTTTGCCCCTTCAATCGGTCCATTAATAAATGCAGTCACGGATTTCAAGTGGCGGCACTTAAGGTCCAAAGTAACGCCAACAACAGGATAAACTTAACTGCTTCTTAAAAACCACAGGAGCGTAGGTCTCCCAAAAGTCAACACCATAGCGCTGCTGACAGCCTTTAAGGGTTATCCGAGTTCGATGGCGAACGACGTGTCCGTGTGCGTCATATTTTTCTCAAAAACACCCATTTAATTGATTAAATCTTTTTGCCTGTCGGTCTTTCCACAAGTTCCCACGCATGATCCCGCATAAGGTTATTCTACTCCTTCTCTAGCTCCTTAATCCACTTTTCCGATTCAGGCTCCAACAACGCTTGTTGCACCGTCTGTGATTCCATCACTGCATTGATCGTTTCAATGACTAGACTTGCTGGCAGCTCTGCCTGAAAGTCTTGCAGCCTTGTGTTTGGTCGACGATCGCGTCTTGGACGCGTTCGCGCATCAGGACCATCGGAATCACTCCCACTATCACCGAGTGCACCAGAAACCTTAGTAACATAATCAATGCCACCGCCACCATCATAAGCAAGCTAACGGGGGGCCCGTTACATAATTTTGATACGAATGTATCAATTTTTGGGCATTATTTATTTAGATAATACTCAATCAACATCACTTGAGAAGAGGTGATGTTGGCGAAATTTTACCTCTGAGAGTAATATTCTCGGGTGCTCCACATTTGTTAATGTGGTTACATCAGCCTGATTAGCTACCAATCGCTGCTGGACGCGCGCAATGGGTGGGGATCAAAAACCCACACACAAGATTGTAGTTTAGTATAGTTAGCTCAAGATAAAGACAGCTTATTAGGAAGTCTTAACTATACTAAATACAGTTCTACTTTTCCCTCAAGACAGAACTTTCGGGTTCTGTGTTGTCTTGGTCTCACTTTCTCACGCCACGTGTACGTGACGTCGGGCGTACGCGCCCTTGGATTGTTATCAATACAAGGAAGGTCTTGCTCAGTTGGCTGAGCAAGAGCGTGCCCCGTTACACCTGGTAGCACTTCGTAGTCCTTCCAGCGACCACCTATCTTATTAATCATGAACATGATGGATGAGGGAGAGATCTTTCACGTCACACGTGAAGGCTTCTGCCATTTAAGTGACCTCGAATGGGCCGCGGTAGGGCGAATGAGCTCTACCGTGGGCGACATTGACGTTACCGCTATGTTGGAATCTCTTGACAGAGACTAACAACATGCCGCTATCGCCAGGTTCATTCAATATGAACTTGGCGCCGAACAAGTGAGAGTAGCCTTGCTTCACCAGATGGGATCTCAACAGGCCGAGCATTTGAGAGAACTCGGTGCTCACCAGACACGGCTTTTGAGGCAGCAGCAATTTAATGCTGCTGTGTGCGGGACGACGCACACGTGTCGCCCCGAATCTCGAAGGTTGACATCTATAAGTACAGAGGAGTCGAGAAAGACTCCCTGTTGTTATGGTTCGTCGAACAAGACAGAGCCATAAATGCATGTCGCATCGACTATGAGCAATTTAAACTAACATTTGCTTAAATTTGATTGGCAGGACGTGCCAAGACTTGGGTTTTAGGCCTGGGGATGAGCTACCCATACGCTTTTGAGTCGCTCAAATCCTTTAAAACCTGGCTCAAACGTTCGTTTGAGCCGCCAAGGGTTGAGTTCAGGGCTCGATCAGAGCTCCTGAAACTCAAGCAAGGTAAGCGTGATGTGCACGCTTACGCTCAGCATATACGACTCCTTGCGAGTAGTGTAACTGCAAATTCGGTCCGCGAACACACATTGATTACTGTGTTCATGCAGAGCTCGCAGACGGGCCCGTCAGGGGTCACCTGTTCCGCCTAGAGTTGAATACTCTAAGAGATGCTATTTTAGCAGCGAAATAGGAAGACTTTAGCATGAGCTTGTCTCATGCTAGCTCGAGCTCTTATCGTCCACCGAGACTACAAGAAACCGGAGGTCCAGAACCAATGGAACTCTATTATGTTGAGAGCGAGAGATCTCGTTCTTTGAACAACAAGAGATTGAATAGGTGCAATCGCTGCCAGAAGTTCGGACACTACGCTTACGAGTGTAGTGCCGCTCGCCCAGTACCTTACAGTGTGGTAAAGTCGCTGATTAATTTCGGGATGCGGATCGGTGACCACCCAGTTGAGACGCCGCTAACTGGCAGAAAACGACACCGGATGATCTAGCGATCCAATGGGCGATGGAAGGCGATCCCAACATGACTCAACGAGCCGATTCAACTATCGACAGAATGATGGACATGGATCGATTTGAGACGAGGCGTAGAAAGAGATGGTTTTCATGGAAAAATCTGGGAAGAGTCGCAGGTATAGATGATTTCTATGGGGCGATCTGGGACAAAGGAAGTGATGAAGTCAAGCGATCCGCTTGAAGGTTGGTCAAGGACAAGAATGTGTGTTGAAGCAGGTGAAGACTGAGTACTGTGGCAGAATTACTCTGGGAAAGGTGTCCATGGGACCAGGTGATGCGATG